AAATTTGCCCAGTAGACAGTATTGAAGAGGAGCTCAAAAAGTGCAGGACCTACTTCGCGAGAACGGGGATCCTGAGATATTCGTTATAAGGAATATGGCTGCGGAAAAAATAGAACCCACCACAATTACTGTGGAAAAGAAGACATTATGCCTCGAAGTTACCTTTCGAGGGGACGCGGGAAGTGAACTCCTGAGAAAAGGTGAAGTCAGGAACATAAACAGTTCTATTCTGGCGCACATGGTTGATTCCGGACATTGGATGGACTCCAACAAAGATTTCCGAGTGACCTACAAGGTCCCACCAAACTATCCAAAGTCCCTGGGTGAGCGCCTGCTAGCAACAGCAGAAGCGACCGCTATCAGGTTGATGAAGCCGGCGTTGTGTACAGAAAACAACTTCCTACAAACTCCGCATCTGGCGTGGCCTACAGTCATTCAGCAGCATGCACTCGTCCGCGCTGTTTGTCTCCCTCCCACACCTAGACTGCTCCACCAAACCCTGACCTCATAACCAGCCTTATCTTGTACACCTCCTCCCTCCCATATTCCCAAGAATCACTTGTACGAAAAGAGGAACAAGTTCTAACTTGTACCCTGTTCCCATATAAATGTACTGGCCTGACGAGAGTTGATCGAAAGCATACGTACGCTCGTCACACTAGTCTTCATAAAAGATGACTTTAAAAAAACGGGTTGTAATGTTAAATTATTGCAGAGCATGATTCCAATACATTTCAGTCACGTCAAGACGCCGACTTTTGAACAAGCTTCCTTCCGGTCGCCTCTAAAAACTATACTCCGCAAGAGAAATGGCTACTAAAGCTCACATTTAATTACTGTTGCAGAGAAGAGGAACGATAGAAAATACGGTAACAGTCTATTTCGGGTTTACGTTGCCTTCATTCCGCCAATAATAACCCTGACTACCAACTAGGCCTCTGTCAAGACCCTAGGCAAAGCGGGACAGATGAGTTCCGTCAGCAGTCGGGTGAAAGCTCATCAATGAGAACCAGAGAAGTCAATCGGCCGCGAGGTAAGTGTATTAACATAAGCAAGTCAGCCCAAGTCTAGAGAAGTCACTCGCACACCAAAAGGCTGCGTGTCTTTTATTCGGTCTGCTTGCTGCGGATGCGACGGCGACCATG